GGGGGGGGGAGGGGGGGGGGGGGGGGGAGGGGGGGGAAGAAAAGGAAGAGAGAGGAGGAAGGGAGGAAGGAAGGAAGAACAGAGAGGATGGGTGGAATAAAAGAGGTAGTGCTATACAAAAAAATGGAGGAAAAAGAAGTTGATAGAGGGAATGAAAGAGAATCGCTGACTGGTCTAGTTTTCGCGCTCGGTCTTGCGCCCAGCCTCCGCCAGCCATGCAGTGCAGGGCAGGTGACACCCAACAGAATGTGGCCCTCAGCAGAAAAGCTCCCTCAACCCCTTCCCATGGGGATCCTCCACGAAATCAAGCCCCTGCCTTTTCCTCTGCAGGATGCCTCGTGCTTTCCAGCGACCTTTCACCAGCCTCCCGTACGAAACATCTGCCGAAGGTGTGTGTGCATGCATGTGTGCGTATCAAAAAAGTCAACAAGCTGGGGGCTGCAGCGGCACAATTGAAGCCCAGCACCCCTGCAGAAAAGAGGCAGGACTGTGATTGTACCCTTGCAACCTCCATCTTGACTTTTCTGACCCCCCCACCGATCCCGTGGCTCCCTGCTGCCTAACAGGGCCAGCAAAAGCAGACTTATTTTCCCTTGGTGAGGAAGAAGAGGAAGACTCTTCAATCAGGGACTTCTTAATGCGCGGCCTGGGAAGCTGATTGCGAGCGCCGGATTGTTTTTCCTCGCTGGGAGCACCGCAGAGCGGAGGCCTCACCGAGAGGCTGAAGGACAGATCATTTAGCAACCAAAACATGGCCTGGAAACCGTGGGGTCTTTAATGCTCCTGTCCCTGAACCCTCCGTGTTTCTTTAAGCCATTCCTTCTCCTCTCTCCCTGCTCTCTTTCGCTCTGCGCTGCACGCTGGTTTATTTTTATTATTTTCTCAGAATGTGGCCCCAGCTGGGGAGTGGAGCATCCCACAGTCCCAAGGCCCCAATGGAGTTTAAATAGAGTCATTCTTGCTAATTAAACCGGTCGCCGTGATTGCTTAGTTAGGATTGACAGTGTAATCAGAAGTCTACGTTGGTCATGTCGTTTCAGGTTTTTTTTTTATTATGAACACAGATCTTGGCAGAAGATTAAAATGGTGCAAAAAGGAGATGCTCATGTCCCTGTTTCAATGAGCCATGGCCACCGTAAAGCCCACCGGAGACACCCTGGGAGCTCAGCAGGGTGGTCCGTGTTCAGGCAACAGCTTTGCTTTTGCAGGCCAGAATGATAATATTGTGCAGACTGGCAGGGTGGTCCCGGGTACCTCAAACTGCGATCCTCTGAGGGGGAGCAAGGCAAACAAGCAACGAGGAAGCAAAAGCGAGGGGGGGAAAATCCCCTACCAAACCGAAGGATCTCCTGCAGGCGTGAGCTCCAGAGATAAAGGGGGCTGGTGGTGGAAAACAAAATTTCTCTTACTTTGTCCAGGAAGCACTAAAAACGCCCTCGTTTCAGGAAAGCGATTAAGTTGCAGAGTGTGGATAAAAGCGTGCTCTCTTTTAGATGGGGCTTTTAATTTGCTGAATGTGAACTGAGGGCATATATGGCAAACACAGTCCTATCCCCCCCCCCCAAAACACACACACATTCACCAACAACGTTCTTGGCAAGCAGAAGACCCTGATCTAACTCAGCATCGCCAGGGAGTGCGGGGAAACACCAGTATCCTTCTGAGCTAAATTGGGGTGGGCCAACCTTGAGGGGTCTTCAACTCAACCTCTCGATCACATCTTCAGCTCAGTCTTCTGAAGGGTGATGGGAGACGACGTGTTGATGATGTGACGTTCCTGCAAGGGGTAGGGCAGATCTGGAGGGGGCATTTTTGGCCTCTGAGAAGTGGGAGTGGGAGGCTCTTCAGAAGCAGGCTGACCCCATTCCTATCCTTAAAACCACCACCCCCAACTCCCCCCAGAAGACATCACTGCCTGGCTGGAATTCAGCCATTTTGCTGCCAGATTCCAGCAGCACCATCTTGGGGTACTTGTTGGAGCTGATTTGCCTTCAGGTGGCTCACCTGGTTCAACGCACCACGAGTCTAATAGTATAAGCTGCCCATGTTTCTAGGTCTTCCTTCTGGGCCACAAGACCCCCTTTTATTTTTCAGATAAGAGAGCAACTTTTCATTCAGACGGCCCGGGCCGAACTCTTGGGAAGCTCACGCCAGCCAGTATCTATCAATGGTGTTAGTCGGATGGACTAAAACCCTCATTTGATGTACGGGACACCCTCCAAAACCCTCATTTGATGTACGGGACACCCCACACGTCACCCTCAGGAACCCCAGCCCTTTCAGCTCCTATGGAAAGCACAGTACTTACAGATGTAGTAATACTCCTGTCCTGGCCTGAATTCGAAGCCTAAGGAGAATGGGGTGAAGAGCTGGAACTTCTCCGAGAACTTCAGGGGACCATTGGGGGAATCCGGCCGGTTGCACTCCCAGCGCTTGAAGCCATTCTGCCGATGGTCGCAGGAGCTGTGACCCTCTTCGTTGACCATGTACAAAATGTATCTCTCCATCTGGTCCACAGGAAACGGGATCTCATAGTGCGGGCAGTATATATCCAGGTAATCGTTGATGCTGACTTCCACGGTGTAATCCCCTTGGTGGAATCTGCAACGGGAACGCCAGGAGGTTAACGGGGTTCTCCGTCCTAGAAAACCAGAGCTGAAGCCAAGGTGCGGCACATTTGAAATAAAATAATGGGTGGGGTTGCACACAAGAGACATCCCCACTGAATGCAATGTACTTACTTACTTACTTAATATTTTACTTCCCTGCCCATTTCATGGCAGTGACTCTGGAGGGCACGCCAAGGATTCACACCGTTAAAACAGAAACCTAAAATAATCATACCTAACATAGGCCCGGGTCTAAAAATCCAATATTCACCCATACTTCCCAGCAGATACATGAAGAAAGAGGCGTGATGTTGCATTTGGGGGAAGAGTGTGAAAATAACTGCAAAATTCCTAGCTGTAGCCTTCTGCTGACGGGATCAAAGGAGAGAATGAGACAAATTTTCACTTCTCCTTAGCCGCTTTCTTGGCTTGTTGTTACATGCAAACCAGGAATGGTGGGTTAAAGTAAGCTTTCATGTGCTGAGACATCCCACCACTCCCAGCCCCCGTGTGATAAAAGGGTTTTATTTTAAGCCACTCTTCCTCATTCTCACATAATGACAAGGCTCAAATCTATTAAGGTGGAGCAAAATTCTACCCCCCGCCCCGGAAAATTCAGATGCTTCCATTTTCCTGGGTGGAGGGAGAAGTAAAAGCAAGGAGGTCAGTTCTCGCCGATGTGGCAGAAGATGGTGGCTTGCAATATGCATGAACTGGGCTACAGGTTCACCCACCGGGTTCTTGGAAAGAAATGATTGTGGGACCCCAGAATTGGAGACTATCCAGCCCACCAGAGATGCGACATGTGGTCCTGTACAGACTCCCCGTGGTGGTCAAGGGGCTGGAAAGAATTGCAGAAACCAAGCTACACAGGCTTGTCCAACCTGACTGAGATGGAACAAGACTTGGAGGTCACCAAATCCAGTAGCCAGTCCATTCCCCCCGGGAACCCCCCAGCCTTTAAAAAAATATCTTTTGCACAGGAGGGGTTCATGATCTGGAGACACTGCTTGCTCTAACCACAGCCATTTCTTGGCTGTGAATATTTAGCTTTGAATATTTAGCACAGTATTTCTCAACCTCAACAACTTTAAGATGTGTGGAATTTTACTTCCAAAAATTCCCCCACCCCACATGCCTGTGTGGG